TAATCCTAAAATACCTGGTCTCCACCTGATTACAATTGCATAAGAAATGTAAGTGAGGTTTATCTCTAAATCATGACTGTTAGTGACATATTATTATTATTATTTTTATTTTATTTTATTTTATTTTTGCTTTTTGCTTTTCTCTGGTACCAGGAATCGAACTCACAACCTTCCACTTTCCAGGCAGGTGCTGTGCCGCTGAGCTAAATCCCCAGCCCCGACATATTATTTTGTTACTAAATTTAAAGAGTTAATTTTGTAGCAATAGCTAACTGACGTAATTTCAAGAACTTTATAATCAAGTGAAGAGGAAAGAAATTCAGGTATTTTCTAATAATCGAATGTAGTAAATATAATGATGAAAGTATAAATAAGACATTAGGAAACATTCTGGGAAGGAACACCCTGAGAGACAATGGCAGGAGCCCAGTAAAGGCTTTCTGAATGACATGGTATTAAAAGTGGAGCCCAGAAGCAGCATGAGAACTATTAAGACAAAAGTAAAGGTGCCAATGTTGCAGTGCTAAGGGATGCAAGCTTTTCCGGATTCAAATTATTAGGAGACACTGAGACTGAATTAGCATAAAAGAACCATATCAGGTAAAATCCTGTACTAGTCAATTTTAAGAAGCCTGCCCCGTGTAAGATAGATCAAACACTTAAACTTACATGTCTATATTTATTTATCTGAGTACCCAATTTGAAGGTATCAATATGTAATACAACAATCATTGCTAATCTCCTATCACCTTGTCTGAAATTCTGTTTTGCTTGTATTGTTTTTGTGTTATTTTGTACATGTATGTGTGTTTCTTAATATGTTTTCATTCTTTTATCTTTAAAATAAAAAAAGAAGTCTACTTCATAATGTAGACTATAGGGAGCTACCCAAGGACTTTTTATCAGAGGTAACATTGCCAATTAATCTTTGAATCTATCACCTATAAATTAAGATTAAAAGTGGAAATAAAGAAAATCTTAGGGTAAAGCAAGAGAAAGAAGCCATTGCAATAATTCAGATAACATAATATGAGGCCTTCACCTAGATATACATGGAGAAGTGAAATGGATTAAAAGATTCTGGAGATTCAGCTAACAGTATGCTGATGTTTGAATATAGGGACAAATATATGGAAAAAATAAGTGTATTTTCATGCTTCTTAAACTGAAAAGGGAAAATAATCATACCACAAGCTCAGTTGAATTTACAAAGATAATGCCTTGCAATTCTCTTTGTGAGATTCCCATATGAAATTAAGTAGTTATATTTAACAAAACCTGGGTTTGTAAATATCATCCATTAAGTAATTAAGGATAGGCAATTCATTTATCTGTTCACTAAATCATTATTGAATAACTGACTACCAGTTTCTTACATTGTTCTAGATGCTTGGATTAAATCAGAAACTAAGGGCTGGGGATTTAGCTCAGTAGCACAGTGCCTGCCTGGCAAGTGCAAAGTCGTGAGTTCGGTTCCTGGTGCCAGAAAAAAAATAAAAATTAAAAAATTTTTAAAAAGAGAAATCGGAACACTAAATGAAGACACTTCAGAGAGTACATGCTAATAAAGGAAACAAATATAAAATGAATAACATAGTAAGTGAATAGCAAACAAATAAAGTATGATTAGGCTGCTACTTTAGATAAAGTAGCTACAAGAGGTAGGGGATATAGGTGGAAATAGCTTACAAGCCAGTGAAAAGGCACTATATAAAAAGACAGCAGAAGAGCAGATGGCAAAGTAGAAGCATTCTGACAGGCTAAAATCATGAGGAAATGAATCAAAAACTTCTATTAGGGATATTTTTTAATTATGTTATTTCTTTCACATTTCATATGTGTACAGAACATTAAATAATAATTTTTATAGATAACTCTTTAAGTAGCACTGCTTAAAGCTTTGTAATTCTATGGACCATTCAAAGCAATTTTGTGTTTATCGTACGTATAAAAGGTTAACTTTCATTAGACAAAAACTTTTAAATATTTTCGCATGTTTGCAACCAACCATTTCAGGTTTCCAAACTTGTGATGTCAATCACATTTTATAATTTGTTTTAAGTGAACTAAATTCAACTATTTTCAATGACAGGAAAAACAAATGTTGATATATTTCTTTCCTATAAGTGCAGAATTATTTTGAGTAGATAAAATAAAATGCAAAGTAATAAAAGCTTCAGGATTTTCTTCCTTGAAAGGAAGAAGTCTCTCTAAATCGCTGTGTACAGATATACCGTATAATGTGACCTAGGATATCATCCAATGAACTACATGAAACTATAAGGTGGCTTTATTACAAAACAAATGATACCTATATGGAATAGTCA